CCACAGGGCCAAGGGCGGGCCGGATACCCACAGAGGGTGGGCCAGATGCCCAAGGGGCTGGATGTCCCACCTGGACGTATGTACAATTTCTAATGGACCAGGTGAAATGGAGTTAGGAAGGGAAACAGACCAGGGAAACTGAGGGACTCACCGAAAAATAGTCTATGCAGCAGAGAGCAGGCTGAGGTCCTGAGTCGGGGAAGGAGGGGGCGCAGCCACTGGTAGCCAGTCAGGGCCCCACGCTCACACTCCTTCCCGGGATTTCGGCACCAAATGTAAGATAAATTCCAATAAATTCCAACCGAAATAAGCAGGCGAAGAGAGGCAACAAAGGGCCAGGAAGTTTATTTGAGTGCAACTCCCGGATGATGTTCCAAGGTCTGGCTATCACAGGCCACAGAAGTCACACCCGGTCAGGGAGGTGGAGGCTTATAAGGGATTAGGAAGGGGAGGAATGGGCAAGCTATCCTAGGGGGCATGGAGAGTTATGATTGGCTAAAAGTGACAATAGGCAGCTAGAAACTTTTTTTCCTTCCAAGAGGGAAGAGGCTGACATCGGGTCTTAGTTGGCACATCAGAAAGATAGAATTCAGAAAGAGCTGTCCCCTTTCCATATAAGGCACGGACCTTGGGGTCTTGTCTGTTCTCCCCCTATGGCATCTCTCTGTTCTGTTTGCATGTCCTTGTTTTTCCTTCCTCCAGCCTAACATGGATGAAATAGGTGAAGGGGAAAAAATTAGAATGTTTGTTATCTTTGACTGAGAGATGGTTATATAGGTGCATATATATATTTGAAATTAATCAGGATGTACACAAGATTTGTGCATTTTCTTAATATAAAAAAATTTTTAATGTCTTCAATGAGAAAAGAAATACTCCTCCTGGAATCATTAGTAGAGAGTTGATCCCAGGGGTAATGATAATCTGCTGGTTCTTCTGACCTGCTACACCTGGACAAAGCGTCTTTCAGTTTTAAGAAGAGATCTTCAGGAATAGAGATACAGATATTGACTGCTGGGAGTCAGTTGGAGCTCAATTAAAGGAATAAAGGTCAGTGAAATTGCAGTAAAGTTTAAGGAATGAAAGTGGGATTTCTGGCACTTCTGCAATGACTGGCAGTTTTTTGTTTGTGAACAAGCATGCTCAGGAATTGGAGTTTTGGTATGGTATGTGAGAAGCACATGATAATTTCCATAAGGACTCCCTGCAGCCTCAGCATCTGGGCAATATCTCAGGCATCTGTGATCCTGCATGGTGCCCTGGTCCATTGCTTGGTGGGGGTCTTTTTTATCTTGCTAGGCTTATTGGGAGCTTCCTGAAAATAGGGCCCTCCCCCTCTAACTTCCTCACTGCAGAGCCCAGCACAAAGCCTGTCGCATTACAATTGAATGGCGACCACATTGTCCTCTGTAAGTGGACTCGAGTTAAAAACAGGTAGAACGAAGGGTCTGTGTATAGCTCCTTCTGCCATCACTGCCAGTTCTCTTGATAGTTGCATGTCTATCTACTGTTACTCATATTTCAGCTGCAATGCTACCTCTTTGGGTCACCCCTGACCTCACGAAGTACCACCCCAACAGTCTTTGGCACAGTACCCTGTTGTGATTCTCTGCAGAGCACTTATTACCATGTGCAGCTTTTCTTGATTATTTATACTTTATTGTCTGTCTCCCTCATAAATTGACAGGTTACCTATACCATATTATCTTTTGTATTTATATAAGAATAAAGGTTCCATGACAGCAGGGACATTGTGTGGCTTCCTCACTGCAGTACACACAGCATATACTGGTTGTTCAGTATTTCTGGAGTGAATGAATTTATCACAAACAGAAGTGGAAACAACTTCCCCTTGGATCGTCAGCTATTGTTAAAGAGTAAGGAAGGAAAGGTCCTAGAGACTGAAGAGAACATCTACTATGAGAGCTATCTGTGGGATTTTCATTGGGGACAGAGGTGACAGATAATTAACTTCTTAAAATTGCTTTTATTAACATGGAATTGAATCAAACAATATATGTGTGCTGTAGAGTAACAAAGATACTAAGTACCTAGCTTAAGAAGTATACTCAGATCATCTTCAGTAATGAAGGTTTATTGCAAAGGTTCAGGGGCACATGAGAGCAGTGATCATTTCCTTCCTAGCCATATCATTACTTGGAGTCCCCAAAGGTCAGACTGGGATGTCCAGAAGCCTTATGAAGAGGTAGAAAATAGCTTAAATTTTGTAGAATAAACTTGATCTCAAATTATTTGCTGTCTTTGTTTTAGCACCATATTCTCATCCCAGGAGAATGTGATGCTTAGAGAGGTCACCACAGTTGCGAATCCTGGGAAGCTGGCTCAGAAACCCAAAAGAACAGGTTCAGACCTTGTATAGGCTATTGGGAGATCAGCTTGACCCCGAGTTGAAAAAGGGCTGACAGGCTGAGTGGAGTTTAAGTCTTGGTTCTCTGAGGAAAGCATGGTTAACAGAGTCTGGTCTAGTTTGTTCTTTGCCTTTTTCAATTCCTCTTTCATTATATTGAGTTCTGGGTCTTTAAAGAGGGATGGCAGGATCTTCAGGCTGTCACTGAGGCAAATTGGTAGATTTGGGCTGGGGCACATTCAATGACAGCTAGTAGGCTAGCATCTGCTTCTCCAGAGTCTCTCTCCAGAAAGGGGCCCACTGGAATGTAGGGTAAACTGGCTGAAGCAGCCTTGGCTGTTCTCAGAGGCTCCTGGTCGGCCCAGATTCAGCCCTCTGCATGCGGACTGACCTATCGGCCCAAGAGGCAAAGGAAGGGCAACGCTGCAGATCACAAGCTCCTTCCCTCAGAGAGAGAAGCTGGGCTTTGTTTTCAAGGCTATTCCCACTGCTGCCCAGGAAGCTACACTTAAGTGTTGTAGGTCACGCTGACTTGCTCAGAGACCCTACCCTCCACCCCGACTGGAGGCTCTGGTGCTGTCACAGCCCCTCATCTGCCTCACCAGCAGCAGACGGTTCACCTGCTGGCAGAAGCCCACCTCAGAGGCTGCCCTGAGCTTTCTACTTTCTTATGACTCCTGACATCTGGGGCCCACTCAGCCACAAAGCCTTCTTGTTAGTGTAGCAGAACCAATTCCCCTGCAGGCCACCCCAACTAATGTCTCTCCGGTGGACACTTCTGGGACATTCCACATGCTTCTCAGTGGTTCCCCCCCAGAATTAAGACCCTAGTTCTATAGCAGTAGACTTGGTAACACACCCTTTTAGTGGCTTTTCCTCCTCTGTTTCACTCTGCCCACTGCCTTAACTCCTGCTTCCTGAGATCATCTCCCAAATAACTACCCGTGCCCAAAGCCTTGTGTCAGGCTGCGCATAGGAGCGGGCCAAACTGAAACATGAGCAGGTGCTCACATTCCAAAGCTAGGCCCTATGTAAACAAGCCAAGTTGCCTAGGAAAGGAGGGCAGCTGCCATCCCATTCCAGCTGATGTTTGACCTGTGGATCTGTAAGCTCGGCACTGCTAGAAATCCAGGCTTTAATGGGAAATTCTCCCATCTTTATATGTCAGCGACTAATTCAAAAATAAAAACACTGCACAGCACTCACCATATCTGCTGACCAGATTAGGTGTATGAGCAGCCCATTCAGCAGAGTATATGCACCAACCCCATGAACAGTGGGAGGAGACCATTAACGGGCTAGAACCTTAAGGATGGCAGAATGGGTCAGGGAGCATAGAAAAGTTCCCCTCCCAGACTTGTGAAGGCCTTGATAACACACTACAGTGAACACAAGTGTTCACCATGTACTCTGCTCTCAACTGCATTATTTCAATCTCACCATCTCAGGAAACAGATGCTATGTTCATCATCCCCATTTTAGACATGAGGAAACAAGTTTTTAGAGGTTGTGATAGATAAAATTCAAATCAAGGTCTCTCTTCACTATTTAAACATTATAGTCTCCCTGGATTGCAAGCCTTGACTCTAACAAAAAGAGCCAGGAGCGTCAAGTTCTAATTTTTGGTTCACTTATGAGAATCTCTTTGCCTCACTTTACAGGTAAGTCTCAAAAGATAAAAAATTCTTTATAAAACGAATCTAATAAAGACAGAAGGAGTGATAAAATAGAAAGCCACCAATGTGCAAACTCTAATGAAATAATGGATCAAAGCTGCTTAGATCATAATTTAAGTGAAAGGCTAATGGAAACTTGATAATAAATAAATCAAGTCACTTCCTGATGTGATGCAAAAGCAGGTACCTATCACCTCTAACTATGTGTTCTTGCCAAAAATATTAGAACCTGAGTCTGAATGAGCCTTGAGATCTACAGTTTACAGGAAAAGTGTTGATAGTGGGTCATATTTAATGACACCACAGGAATACAACCAGGCGAGTCTAGAATGTAAGAAATTTTAGGGCAAATGACCTGGTTTTCTCAAATGGCAAATAAAAATAGAAGGGGAATTGTTAAGTATTTTCATTTTATTTTATTTTGGTATCATTAATCTACAATTACATGAGGAACATTATGTTTACTAGGTTTCCCCTTCACCAAGTTCCCCCCACAACCCCCATTACAGTCACTGTCCATCAGCATAGTAAGGTGCTATAGAATCACTACTTATCTTCTCTGTGTTGCACAGCTCTCCCTGTGCTTCCCCCCACATTCTACATGCTAATCGTAATGCCCCCTTTCTTCCCCCACATCCCTCCCTAAGTATTTTTATTTTTAAAGAGACTTAAGGGACATCAGCAAAATGCAGTGTGTGAATCTTGTTTGAATCTTTATTCAGACAAATCAACAAAAACATTTTGTGATGACTGAAGAAAATTGAACATTGATGGGGTTCAGGACATGCTACTCCAAAATATGAGACCTTGGCATATTGAATACTTTAAGCTGAGGGAATTAGAAAAATGGCAGGTGCTGGAAGCACTCTTGACCCTCTCCCAGGAAGCAGGTCATAAGACCCTCATATGAGAGGTGCTCTCCCTATCCTCCAGAAGAAAGGAGCATCCTTATCTCTAAAGATGGAGGGACACTGAGAATTTGAACAAAGGCCTGGCTAAGTTTCTCCCAGTTTACTACACTTAGCTCATACCATTCTGTCCTGTCACAATTTCCAAAGACTTTTCACTCTTTGTTACACCTCGTATAAAAACACTCAGTTTTAACTGTTTCTTTGGGTCTTCAATTCCTTCTGGAGGCCCCCATGTCCTATCAAAACATGTATTAAATCTGTATTATTTCCTTTTAACCTACCTTTTGTTATAAAGCCCCAGCTGAAAACCTTAGAAGGAGAAAAGGAAAAAGATTTTTTCTCTCCTAAAACATCATCTGTTAGTAAGAATTACTGTTAATTTTGTTAGCAATGATAATGGTGTTGTGACATATATTTTTAAGTCCTTAAGAGTTTTTCTGGAAAACCAAGTGGAACACTTATTACATGACAATGTCTATACCTCAATATCAGCCTTTCATGGAGAGGCAAGCTTTATTTCAAAGTAACGTGAAAAGAGCAGGCAGGAGGTCTGGAAGTACCACCTGGCAGGAGGGTACACAGAGCTGCATGTCCATTGGCAGGGTCCAGTTGGCAGTCTCACCAATTCCTGTTGTTGCCCAAGACTTGCTTGATTTCCTCTTCAGGTTGAAACTAAAAAGACAAACCTGAAGATGCCCATGTTACCCTTGTTATCCAAACATGCCTACTTCAGGGAAGAGGACACCTGAAGTCAACATAATTGAAGGAATTTGCTTAATTATTAAAATAAATAAATACACTGAGAGTATAGTTAATTTAGTAGCGTTCCTCACATTTTCACATTCTTAAAAGAGCCACGGGGGTTTTCATTCATGTTTTAAGCCACTGAGTTGGTAAAGATCCTGTCTTCATTTCATAGGAAATGGATTACATTCAAGTATTCCTCCCAATAGCCAACTGGAAGATTATTCCATTGCCTTTGAAGCACTGGTTGGGTTGGCATCTGTGATGGTAGCCAAATAAATGGGATTTGTATGTAACACAATGCTGGTACCTATGAGTGAAAACCAGGCAAAAATTACAGGCTTGTTTTTACTGAAAATGGACAAAAAAGTAGAAAAGAATTTATCCACAGCAGTGAAATGGCTCATCCACTGACCAGATGGTTCAGTGTTATCGACCTTCCTGTTTGGCACATTCAAGGACAACAGATCCTTGTTGAATCTTACTTGTTCTCACTTATCACTTCCACAGCTACCTCTCTAGGCCAAGCCACTATCGCTTCTTGCCTAGACTACTACTGGACCAGTGTCCTAACTGGTCTCTCTGCTCTACCTACTCTATTCTCTACATGGCAGCCTGAGTGATCATTGTATAATTTAAGTCAAGATTATGTCATCCCTTTGCTTAAAACCCTCCAAAGGCTCCCACCTCATGCTGTGCAGAGCTGAGCCCATCCCATGGCCCACAAGGCCTCATGTGATTGGGGTCTCTAGTCATCTCTCTGACCTCAACTCCTACCACTTTGCCTTTGGCTCACTGAGTTCTGGCCACAATGGCTTCCTTTGCTGCAATTTGGAGATATGCAGATGCTCCAGCCTGGGGGCTTTTTCACCTGATGTTTTTCTGCCTCACATATTTGCATAGCTGGCTCCCTCACCTCTAGTGTCCATTCAAGTGTCACATCAGAGATACTCTTTACAAAACAGCTTCCCTTCCCCCACTTTCCCTGCTTTATTCTTATTTGAAGCATGTATTAGTATGTGCCTAATTATATACTTCCTCCCTCCAGATTCTAGAGTCTAGGATGTAAGCTCCATGAGCACAGAGCTGGTACTTGTTTGGGGACTACTGATTCCCTAGTAGCTGAAACAGTGCCTAGTACTCAGTAATACATATAAAGTATCTGCTGAACAAGCTTAAGGAAGGGAGAAGGCACCTTCATGACCAATATGAGCTTACTATAGCAGTGATGTTCAGTCAGGGAACAGAGCTGCAAATCAGACCAGGGGACAGGAAGCATGGTCTGTGCAATGCAAAAAAAGCCCAAGGGAGATTTTGATAACCTTTTTACCCATAGCATAGGTTGAGAATCACTGCCTCAAATGAGTATTTTGCAACTCTTTTCCATATAGAAAAATGAATAAGCATTACTATAAACTATAAAAAAGCACATTGTCATGTAGGATCTGAAGAATCAAAAGTTAGCATAAGTACAGCCATCTTAAGGCCTAAATACTACCCCCTAACCCAGAAGAAGCAAAATCATTAGAATCTTGAAAAACAAGTTAGTTAGCCTGTGTCAATTGTAGTGACCTTTCTGTGTCAATTGTAGTGACCTTTAGTTAGCTAACCGTAAATCAGTTAATCATATACGCCTAGCTTATCTTACTAGAACCACCCTAGACATTCCGTAGGTGATCTCATCTAATCAGACCCCAGGATGTGGCGCCAGCAAAAGATTTATGAGCCTATAGAAAAAACTCTGTATTGTGATTATGGAAAATTTTACCCCTTTTGAAAATACTATAAAACCTTCTGCCTTAGTGTGCTCGGGGTCCTCGTTGAGACCTGCTGCGACAGGCTGACTTGGACCCCAACTAGTTGGCTTCCGAATAAATTCCTCTTGCTTGTTGCATCAAGAAACGTCTTTGGTGAGTGATTTGGGGCGGCGCCTTCCTCAGGGGAATCCAACATTTGGGGGCTCGTCCGGGATCGGTTGTCCACCCCGCTTCACTCCCGAAGTCGCTCTTGGAGGAAGAGGTAAGATTAGTGGCGCCTTGAGTTGTTGTTTGTGTTCTGTTTTCTGTTTCAGTGAGACCGGTCAGAGTTCTGAAGGGTACCCGTTGTCTGGCAGCCGTCTCAATCCCGTACAGGGGCTGTGACTGCGGTCGGTAGACGTACTAGAGCACCGCAGGCTGCAACCCTGGGGGACGCCTCAGGGAGGTTGGGGGGCCAGGGACGCCTGGTAGCCTCCCGTCTGTTTTTCCGGCAAACTGAACCTGATGAGATAGGGTTGATTTTTGGGCGCCGAGAATTTCAACCCTCTGATTCCTTTCGGTTTCTGTTCGAGGCTCTGAAAAGAACCAAAAGCGGCCGCTGTGTGTCTAATCTGTGTGTGTCTTTGTTTTTTGTGTCCTTTACGTGTCTAATTATTGTTATACTGACAATGGGACAGACAGTGACGACCCCCCTTAGCCTGACACTAGATCATTGGACGGAAGTTAGAGCGAGGGCACGTAACTTGTCAGTAGAAGTGAAAAAGGGACCATGGCAGACTTTCTGTTCCTCCGAATGGCCCACCTTCAATGTTGGGTGGCCCTCGGAGGGGACTTTTGATCTCCCCACTTTACTAGCAGTAAAAGCTATTGTTTTTCAGGATTCGTCTCAAGGACACCCGGATCAGCAACCCTACATTGTAGTCTGGCAAGAGTTGGTGGAGAACCCACCACCCTGGGTAAAGCCCTGGGTGCAAAAGAAAATGGGCCCTCGAGTTTTAGCTGCCCAGACTCAACCTCAGAAAAAGGAAAAGGAAACTACCAAAGTTTACCCTGATACTCAGGATTCGCTTATAATTGATGATCCCCCTCCCCCTCCTTACCCTCCTGCCCCCACGGCACCCCCGGTGCCCCCGGCCCCAGCACCCCCAGCACCCCCAGCACCCCCAGCTCCGGCACCCTCAGTCCCTGATGCTGAGGCAGTAGGGCCGGCTCCGGGACCTGCCCAGGGCACCCGGCGCCGCCGAGGGGCCATCTTGGACCCACCGGGTATCTTTCCTCTCCGGTCTTATGGAGTTCCCATCCTTGGAGAAGAAGGGGAACCGCCTTTCCAACCTCTGCAATATTGGCCCTTCTCCTCTGCTGATTTGTATAATTGGAAAGCTAACCACCCGCCCTTTTCAGAGGAGCCACAGAAACTAACTGGTTTAGTAGAGTCTCTGATGTTTTCCCACCAGCCCACCTGGGATGACTGTCAGCAGCTTTTACAGGTGCTCTTCACCACGGAAGAGAGAGAGAGGATTCTCCTGGAGGCACGGAAGAATGTGCCTGGAACCGACGGACGGCCTTCGCAACTCCCTCATGACATAGAGAGGGGGTTCCCGTTGACTAGACCCAACTGGGACTTTAATTCTCCAGAAGGTAGGGAGCGACTAACCATCTATCGTCAGGCTCTGGTGGCAGGTCTCCGTGGGGCCGCAAGACGCCCCACCAATTTGGCCAAGGTAAGAGAGGTCAGCCAGGGAGCCACTGAAGCACCTGCAGTATTCTTAGAACGCCTGATAGAAGCCTTCAGGCGGTATACTCCCTTTGATCCCACTTCTGAGGGGCATAGTGCTTCAGTGGCCCTTGCTTTTATCGGGCAATCGGCACCCGACATTAGGAAAAAACTTCAGAGATTGGAAGGCTTACAGGATTTGTCGCTGAAAGATTTAGTGAAAGAAGCAGAGAAAGTTTATCATAAGAGAGAGACTGAGGAAGAGAAAGAGTTAAGGAAAGAGAAGGAGAGGGAAAGTAAAGAAGAAAAGAGAGATAGAAAGCATGAGAGAAATTTAACAAAGATCTTGGCCGCAATAGTAGAAAGTAAGGGACGACCGCCCTCTAGTGGTAAAACTAGTAAGGCAGGGTCCCTGGGCAACCGACCTCCTTTAGATAAAGATCAGTGTGCGTACTGCAAGGAAAAGGGGCATTGGGTGAAAGAATGCCCTAAGAAACCACCACGGGGACCTCCGAAGAAAGTGTTGTCCCTGCTAGAAGATGAAGATTAGGGAAGACGGGGCTCGGAGCCCCTCCCCGAGCCTAGGGTAACTCTGAAAGTGGAGGGGCAACCCGTTGAGTTTCTGGTAGATACCGGTGCTCAACATTCAGTACTGACCCAAGCTAGAGGCCCCCTTTCTAGTAAAAAGTCTTGGGTGTTCGGGGCCACGGGTCAGAAACAATATGCATGGACTACCCAAAGAACAGTGGACTTAGGAGTGGGACAAGTAAACCACTCATTCCTTGTTATACCAGAATGCCCTACACCCTTGTTGGGAAGAGACATCTTGACCAAAGTCGGGGCCCAAATATCCTTTCAGACTGAAGATACCCAAGTGACTGATAGCAAAAAGAGACCCTTGGGCCTAAGCATCCTGTCCATAAAGTTAGAAGACGAGTACCGCCTTTTTAAAGAACCAGAACCCTCCCGAGTTAATCAGAGGTGGCTCAACCAGTTTCCAGGGGCCTGGGCAGAAACGGCAGGTATGGGACTTGCTGTAAACCAGCCCCCGGTAGTCATAGAATTGAAAGCCTCAGCCTCACCAGTAACTGTGAGACAATATCCAATGAGTAAAGAGGCCAGAGATGGGATTAGGCCCCATATCCAGAGGCTCATAGAGCAGGGGATATTAGTAAAATGTAAATCCCCATGGAACACTCCCTTGCTGCCCGTAAAGAAGGCGGGAACAGGAGATTATCGACCAGTGCAAGATTTAAGAGAAGTTAATAAGAGAACACAGGACATTCATCCCACTGTGCCGAATCCTTACAACCTGCTAAGCTCTCTGGCCCCAGAAAACACTTGGTACACAGTCTTAGATTTAAAAGACGCCTTCTTTTGTTTGCGCCTGCATCAGAGTAGTCAACCGCTGTTTGCCTTTGAGTGGAAAGACCCCTCCACAGGAACTACTGGACAATTGACCTGGACTCGCTTGCCACAAGGATTCAAGAACTCACCTACCCTCTTCGACGAGGCTTTACACCAGGACTTGGCCTTTTACCGAGCCTCCAACCCGCAGGTAACCTTGTTACAATATGTTGATGACTTACTGATAGCCGCTCCTACACAGGAAGTCTGCCAAGCGGCTACTGAAGCCCTTTTGACTGAACTTGCTAGGCTGGGGTATAGAGCATCTGCCAAAAAGGCACAGATCTGCCAACAACAAGTGACTTATTTAGGGTATTCCCTGAGAGAAGGGAAAAGGTGGCTTACTGAAGCCCGGAAGCAGACTGTGACGCAGATCCCGGTCCCTACTACTCCGCGCCAAGTCCGCGAATTTCTGGGAACAGCAGGGTTCTGCAGATTATGGATACCCGGATATGCCACCTTAGCTGCCCCCCTGTACCCCCTGACCAAAGGGGCAGCCCCGTTTGTTTGGGGACCTCAACAGCAACAGGCCTTTGATGAGATCAAGAAGGCCCTCCTGTCGGCACCTGCTCTGGCCCTCCCAGACGTATCTAAGCCGTTCGTCCTTTTTGTGGATGAACGGAGTGGAGTAGCTCGGGGAGTGTTGACCCAACAATGGGGACCTTGGAAGAGACCTGTCGCCTATTTGTCAAAAAAATTAGACCCAGTAAGTAGTGGATGGCCTGCCTGTTTGAGAGTAGTGGCGGCTGTGGCCCTCCTAGTTAAAGATTCTGACAAACTGACACTGGGACAGAAACTTACTGTGGTTGCTCCACATGCGTTGGAGAGTGTAATTCGGCAGCCACCCGAGAGATGGATGTCGAATGCCAGAATGACTCACTACCAAACCTTACTCCTGAATCGTGATCGAGTAGAGTTTGCCCCCCCTGCCATCCTAAACCCGGCCACTCTGCTCCCCGAGTTGGGGAAAGAAGTGCTTCATACCTGCCAGGAAATCCTGGCTGAAGAGACAGGAACCCGCCAGGACTTGCAAGACCAGCCCTTAAGGGGAACAGGACTCCTGACTTGGTACACGGACGGGAGCAGTTACATCATGGATAGTAAAAGAATGGCTGGAGCTGCAGTAGTAGATGATGACCGAGTTGTATGGGCCAGTGGACTCCCAACGGGCACCTCTGCACAGCGAGCAGAACTCATCGCTCTGACTCAGGCCCTAAGGATGGCAGAAGGTAAGAGACTTAACGTCTACACTGACAGCAGATACGCCTTTGCCACTGCTCATATACACGGGGCTATTTATAGACAGAGAGGGCTGTTAACTTCTGCCGGGAGAGATGTTAAAAACAAACAAGAAATTTTAGATTTGCTAGAAGCCATCCATAGGCCTAAAGAAGTAGCAATAATACATTGCCCTGGACACCAGAAAGATGACTCTCCAATAGCTCGAGGAAACCGGAGAGCAGACCAAGCCGCAAAGCAAGCGGCTCAGGGAATGAACATTTTGCCCCTCCAAGTGTGTCCGGAAGCCACTCACATCAAGAGCTTCCAGTACACACCTGAAGATCTCATTTGTATAGACAAATTAGGGTTCAAAAATTCTTTGCCCCAAGAGATATACAAGTCTGAAAAAGGGAAAGTTGTCCTGCCCCAGAGAGAGGCAGCAGAATACTTAAGGCAATTACATCAACTGACACATTTGGGAGCAAAAAACCTAAAGACCTTAGTTCGAGACTCCCCTTATCATGTTATTAAATTAGGAAAATTAGCTGACGAGATTGTAAAAAATTGTGTTCCCTGTCAATTAGTAAACGTGAGCAAAAATCAAGCAATATCCGGGAAAAGACTTCGAGGAGATCGCCCAGGAGCTTATTGGGAAGTTGACTTCACTGAAATTAAGCCTGCCAAGTATAGATATAAGTACCTTCTAGTTTTTCTAGACACATTTTCAGGATGGACAGAGGCGTTCCCCACCAAAACTGAGACAGCTCAGACGGTGTCTAAAAAGATCCTTGAAGAAATATTTCCCAGGTTTGGAATCCCAAAGGTAATCGGCTCCGACAACGGCCCTGCTTTTGTTGCCCAGGTAAGTCAGGGATTGGCCAAGATCCTGGGGACGGACTGGAAATTGCATTGTGCATACAGGCCCCAGAGCTCAGGACAGGTAGAAAGGATGAACAGAACTCTAAAAGAGACCTTGACTAAATTGTCCATAGAGACTGGCTTATGTGATTGGTTAGTCCTCCTTCCCTTCGCCCTATTTAGAGTCAGGAACACTCCCGGCCGCTTTGGACTAACGCCTTTTGAAATAATGTTTGGGGCCCCAGCTCCGCTTCAGTCAGCACATCTTCATGTATTCCCTGAGTGTGCAACTAATAAGTTTTTGCTTGAAAGGTTACGAGCCTTGGAAGCTGTGCAGAAAGAGGTGTGGGCCTCCATCAAGGAAGCCTATCGGCCAGAGGAACTCTCAGTGCCTCACCAGTTCCAGGTGGGAGACCCTGTCTATGTAAGAAGGCACCGGACAGGAAACCTCGAGCCACGGTGGAAGGGGCCTTTCGTCGTCCTCCTGACTACTCCCACAGCTGTAAAAGTGGACGGCGTCTCTTCCTGGATACACGCTTCACATCTAAAGAAGGCACCCCCGGACCCAGACTGGCGAGTAACTCGGACTGATAACCCCCTTAAGCTTCGCTTGTGTAAAAAGAATTATGCTGTTAGTAATTCTGATGTTTCTGCTACCTCCAACCCACCAGAACCCTAACCCTCATGAGCCCAGGTTACTGACATGGCAAATCATTACCCCAGCTTCCCGCCAAATAGTAGTCCAGATAACAGGACAACACCCTAAGGGAACCTGGTGGCCTACCCTCACTGTAGACGTATGCACTCTTTTCAAGCAAGACCCTAGGTATGAGGACACAGTTGGAGTACCCGGATGTAGCACTCGGGATTATATAGTGCATTGGGGCTCTGGGACTATGAAAGAAATTCAAAGTGCCTGCTTTTATGTATGCCCGGCCCCCTCAACTGATGCCGAGGTCTCACAATGTGGAGGGCAGACAGATTTTTTCTGTAAGAATTGGGGTTGTGAACAGACAGGGACATGCCATTGGCTGACAGGAAGCGCAGGGAGACCCCCTCCAGGCCTTATAAAAATCCAACGAGGTGCCACTCATGCCCAGTGCAAGACTCATCCCACCTGCAATCTCATTGATATCTCCTTCACAGATGCAGGAAAAAGGGCAGCAAACTGGGAAAAGGGGCTTACTTGGGGACTAAGACTGTACCAGAGTGGGTATGACAATGGAGTCTTATTTATGCTCAGGCTAAAAGTAGAAACTCTCCCGGCTATCCCAGTGGGACCCAACACTGTCCTGCAGGACCGGCCGCGTCTCCCAGCCCCGGCCCCCGAGCAGACCCCAGCCCCCCCTGTAGACTCTACCGCCGCTCCCTCTGTTTCCACTCCTGGTCAAGTTGCCCCTTTCCCTAGCACAGGACGACGCCTCCTTAACCTCCTTGAAGGAGCTTTTCAGGCCTTAAACACCACCAATCCTAAAACTACTGAATCCTGTTGGTTGTGTTTCTCTTCTGGGCCGCCTTATTATGAAGGATTAGGATTGTTAGGCAATTTTAATAAAACAACCCGTCACGAGATCTGTAGCTGGGGAAGCCACCGGAAACTAACTCTAACTGAAGTAACTGGAAAAGGAAAATGTTTAGGTACAGTCCCCCCCACCCATAAAGCCTTGTGTAATGAAACCGTAGCTATAACCCCCTCAGGTAAAAATGAGTATCTAGTCCCTCCCCCCGAGGGATGGTGGGCTTGTAATACTGGAGTGACCCCATGTGTCTCTACTTCTGCCTTCAATTCCTCTCGCGATTTCTGTATTATGGTTCAGCTAGTACCCAGGTTAATGTATCATGATGATCTCTCATTCGTAACTGAATTTGAACCTAGGCATAGATATAAAAGAGAGCCGGTCTCGCTGACCTTAGCCGTGTTGTTAGGGATAGGAGTTGCAGCCGGAGTGGGAACGGGGGCAGCCGCTATTGTTCAAGGGAACCAGCATTATGAAGGACTAAGGACTGCTATTGATGAAGACCTAAAAACAATAGAGCAATCCATTACAAAACTTGAAGAATCTCTAACTTCCCTCTCTGAGGTAGTCTTACAGAATAGACGAGGGCTGGATCTACTGTTCCTAAAAGAAGGAGGACTGTGTGCAGCTTTAAGAGAAGAATGCTGCTTTTATGCAGATCATTCCGGGATAGTAAGAGATTCAATGTCAAAACTTAGAGAGAGGCTAGATCAGAGGAAGAGAGAGCGAGAAGCAGGCCAAGGACTGTTTGAATCTTGGTTCACCAGGTCCCCGTGGTTTACAACCCTGATATCCACTCTGGCTGGGCCCCTACTCATCCTTGTGTTGCTTCTAACTTTAGGACCCTGCATGTTAAACCGGTTAATAACTTTTGTTAGAGAAAGAGTGAGTGCCGTTCATGTACTAATGTTGAAGCAACAATACCACTCACTCAACTCCTAAGAAGATACAAACATTCCATGATTGGAATGCCCCAAAAAGAGAAATGGGGAAATGTAGGATCTGAAGAATCAAAAGTTAGCATAAGTACAGCCATCTTAAGGCCTAAATACCACCCCCTAACCCAGAAGAAGCAAAATCATTAGAATCTTGAAAAACAAGTTAGTTAGCCTGTGTCAATTGTAGTGACCTTTCTGTGTCAATTGTAGTGACCTTTAGTTAGCTAACCGTAAATCAGTTAATCATATATGCCTAGCTTATCTTACTAGAACCACCCTAGACATTCCGTAGGTGATCTCATCTAATCAGACCCCAGGATGTGGCGCCAGCAAAAGATTTATGAGCCTATAGAAAAAACTCTGTATTGTGATTATGGAAAATTTTACCCCTTTTGAAAATACTATAAAACCTTCTGCCTTAGTGTGCTCGGGGTCCTCGTTGAGACCTGCTGCGACAGGCTGACTTGGACCCCAACTAGTTGGCTTCCGAATAAATTCCTCTTGCTTGTTGCATCAAGAAACGTCTTTGGTGAGTGATTTGGGGCGGCGCCTTCCTCAGGGGAATCCAACAGTCAAATGCCAGAATCAAACGTAAAGACTTATCCAAAAATGGATATCTCTACTATTCCATTGACCTGTTTAGTGAGGGATTACAGATATTTTCAAGGGGTGGGAAAAGCATGGCTTTCTTAAGCATGTCTTCAGTAACAATGAAATAATATATTTTTCTATAATTGGGTATAATTCCTGGCCCAAATTTAGAAAAGAGGCTATTTAGTCTCATTTTGATATATGTCAAGAGACCACATTAAATTGCTGTGCAGAATTTACCTTGGACTTACCTTGGAAATCTCTTACTGGTTTTTGTGTGTGTTACAGACTGACTGCAAGTTAGAAGTAGGAGGAAACTTAGTAGTCAAAAATGGTCTTACTCCCTCACTTAAAAAAAAGGATAAGCTAGGTATCCATGATGAGAAAGCGGCCACCGCTCGTGCTCTCCCCACAATCTCTGCTGTTATCAGCTGACATGGCTTCATGTAAGGAAGGTTTTGCATTGAGCATAATTCAAATATTGAAGAAGGTGCCACGTCTGACTCCAGATTTCACAATGTACTGTCCATAGGGTCCTGGTCAGTAAGGAACCTCTCTCTGAGCCCATCTGCGACCAATCATCCAAGACACCTAGTTCAGGACAGCAGCTGTATCAGCGCACCGGCTCCCCCTCCACGCAAACGTCAGAGGATGGGGCAGGGCACTTACTGGACGCACTCATTCGCCCGGTCTTTGATACTCCAGGATACAGCGGATCAGTTGGTTATTCTCCTCCAGGAGCTGAAAGATCAGAAAAAGGGTCAGTGCCGTGCGACATCAGAAAGGCGGGGAGACTGTCCCCGCACCCCCCAATCCCCGCCCCCTGCCGGGCGACTTTACCGACCTGGTTCCCTTCTCACCCCATACGCCTGCAGGTCAACCCCCCATGCACACGTCAAGTCTCAGCCGGGATGCGATTCCAGGAAGCTTTTCGCACCCGCAGCCCGTCTTGCGGATCTCGACGGAGGAACCCCTTCTCTTGGCCTGCGTTAGCGTTCACCCGCTGGATCGTCTCCTGATTGACTTCCGCCTTGCCTCTCAGCCAGTCCGGTACAAAGGCCACCGACATCCCGGGAAAGCCGGCTGGAAGCTCGCCGCAGGACCAGCAGGCCCCATCGTACCGAGAGCCAACCAGCAGCTCAGACGCTCTAGGCTAGCAGCAGGGATTCGGGATAGGTCGGACTTCCGCTCTAGACGTTGATTGGGTCCTGACGCTGACTGGGAACTGGCGGAACGTGCCTCGTGATTGGGCTCGCAAGAGGGAGGCTCAGCCCCGCCCCTGGGGCGCCGAAGCTGATCGCGGATGCTTCGCATTTGCGCAGTCTGGAAAGCTAGTCTCAGACGAGCCTCGGCGTCAGCTCCGCGCCTTCTGTGCACCGGGTACAGTCGGCCTTTCCTAGCCCATAGCCTGGGGGTATAAGTCGTAGCTGGAACTCAGATGTCTGGCTCCAAATCCACTTCTTTTTAGACATCACTCTGGTGCCTCCAGGCCTGTATCTGGAGCATGATCCCTGGTCATTGCCTTCTACCAAGCCAAACTCTGAAGGGCCAAGGAAAATACTGGTATCAGCTTTACTCTTTGCTGCGGGAGAAGCTTGCATATATGACTTTCTTTCCTGTGGGCAATAATAATGCCTAATAGGTTTACAACGCTAAAAAGCACAATAATTTCCTCCATTTTACAGATGAGAAAACTGAGGTTAAATAACCTCCCCAGGGTCTCATAGTTGCTAAGGACAAAGCCAGGATCTTAACACACACAGTCTGGCTTTAGAATCCATGCTCGTAATCACTGCCCTACACTGCCTGAGTACCGTCCTGCAGAAGTAGTTTGCTGCAAGATACAGAGAGGAAGCTGGGCCTACCGTCCTGGACCACATAGTTACTGCTGGCAACCACTAAAACTCTGAAGTGGGTGTCTCCTCTCTTGTCTAGCCCATCCATGGTGGACAAGGGAACAAGTTAGGTTTTCCCTGCAGCACAGAGTGAGCAGCAGCCACATCATTTGGGAGGGAGATCTTGTAAGCCTTTACTTCTCAAATGGGGCCTGGGCAATTCATTTTCCTGAGTAGTGGCCCTGACCCAAAGCAGCCTCACCTACTTTGCTGAGCTTTCCCTCCACAATCCCCTTATTATACCCTGTAAGAAGACAGCTTTCATCCCATTTTGCAGAGGGATAAAAACCCAGTGTGAGAAGAGGGCAACATGCCTGAGGTGGCCCAGGACCCAGGGCATCCTGGTTCCTAAGCTTGTACTGTTAACTCTCAACTAAGTTCCCTCCCAAGGAAAAATCCCCCGAGGTTCCACAGCAAATGGAGTCAGCAGAGGAGGAGCCATCAGGATGCAAACCTCCCTTAGTCCTTCTCACCCTATTCCTGTTTGGACAAATGAGGAATGGCAATAATATGAGATGGTGTTAAGGTGGAGCAGGTGCAGGGGGCAGCCAGGTCCAGCATGAAAGCTGGAAAGAGAAAGCCCTCCAGGAGAACAGATGTCTCAGTATGAAGAGGAAGTGGAAGTTACACAGGTGACAGTATCCAGATTCTGGATACTGGAGCAATGGGAGCTGTAGATGATTTTGAGCAGAAGACAGGCGAAGTTGGGGATGCATTTTAGAGTTATCTTGGCTGTAATATGGTGAAAGGCAGGAAGGGCAGCCAGATGAGAAGCAAAATGAACAGTGGGAGGGCTGTTCCAGGTGTGCAGGGCAGAAATGGTAGGAGCAAGGAAAAAAAGAAATGTGTGCATCTAAAAGATGTTAGAGGTAGACTTGATAGGCTGTGACCTAATGGCAGAGGGAGGGAAAGGAGGAATTAGAGATGACTTCCCGGGTTCTGGCTAGGGCAACTGAGAGACAGGGTGTGGCTCTGGGAGGATGGGGCTTCCCCGCCCAGGGCAAGTTGGCTGTGAATCTGCTGAGGCTGAAGGAAGATAAGGTGAGAGGTTGGAGAAAGAGTTCTTTTATTGCTTATGGCTCAGTCTCTCCCTCTCTCTCTGTGTGTGCTTTTCCTCCCCTTTTCATTTGGCTCTGCTCCCCAGCTCTGTCCCGCTGGCCCAGTGCATGCCCTGCTTTGCCCCTCCCCTTCCTCTGAGAGGAACTCCGTGGGTGGATCCCTGGTGACTGGCCACCAGCTGACCAATTATATACCAGGAACAGGAGGGGAGAAGAGAATGGCTGCTTGCACCAGAGGGACAGTCTTTGCACATTCTGATATGCAAACAGGCCCTTATATATGTATCACTGTCCAGGCCAAGTGGGAAATTCTGGTTAAATACTTACATTTATCCCACACAGTGGATGTTATTTGTGGAGGTGGAAACGTTAGAACAGTTTACTTATAATGAATTATAAAACTTTGATAGTTAAATTGTGCCATCACTTATGAGGCACCTATTCATTATTTTTGTGGACCTGAAAGAAGCTTTGTATACTTGTATTTGCCAGTCTCAGAGGAAGATTCTGAAGAGAAGGTCTAAAATATTTATAAATCAAAACCCAACTGAGTTAGAACACTGGAACAGCAGAGAAAAAGCCTGAAAGGAAGTAAGAGTGATAAATTCAGCTGTGGACATGCACAGTTTGAGGTGATGTCAAATGGAGATGAAGTGTGTGGCTGGCTATGCAGGTCTGGAACTCAGGGCCAAGGGCTGGGCTGGCAATGCTGGGTTGGCAATACAGGCTTTGAGAAGGATCACTGTGGAAAGTGGAACCATGAAGTAAATGAGACTGTCTAAGGAGATTGAGTTGGTTTCTCTCATGGCAGAGGAAAACTAGCTACAAAGGAGAATGAGGGGAGAAAGAAACTAGAGATATAAGGAAATCCAGGATAGTGTGGGGTCATATGACTAAGTGACTGAGAAGGTGAGTTAGGACAGCAATAAAAAGTGCTGTTGAAAAGTCAAGCAAGATAAAGACTAGATCTTCAAAGTCCTTAATGAGGGAAATTTCAGTGATGTGGTGAGGCAGAAGTCAGAATTGCAGGGGACTAAGAAATTAGGGGAGAGATAAAGCAAATGTGTCTTTACACATAAGCCACTTTTTCCAAGAAGTTTGCCTATATAGGGGAAATGAGAAAAAGGTGGTAGTTGGAGGGACAGATGCTGGTGGGAGCTGAGGGACATCACTCTAATGGTTGCTCTTCCCTCAGTGAAGAAGGCACCTGGGAGAGCAAGGCAGGTTGAAGAGTGGGAGAGCTGGGGACCATCCAGGAGTTTTTGAAGGTGGGGTTGGAGAGAACTGGAGACACAGCTGACCTTCAAACACAGGACTGCTAGGCAGTGTTGAGGTTGAGGCTGGCATTGTACACACAGCTCTGATCTGTGTGGTTCTGAGATTTTTCCCGGAAGCACTTTCAGCCAAGGAGCAGATTCAGAACAGGCAGAAGACTGGATTATCCAGGGTGCTGCCAGGAAGACGTGATGGCAAAATAACTGTACAGTGGAGGTAAGCACATTAGGAGGAATGTGATGGAAGTAAAGGACTCTGGCCTTTGAGCTGATGGGGAAGGAAATGAAGACTAAAGGAAGATGATAAATAGAATGATGTAGAAGGCAAATGGACTGGAGGCTTCTGCAGGCCAGACAACAGTTGAGGGGAAAGTCAGAAACCAGATGTCTGCATTTACAGCTTCAGAAGGTGGAGCTTTTCTGTGGCAATGCAGTGCCCCCCAGCAGGGGTGGGATGAAAAAGCCTAGAAGAGAAAGTCTCTGAAGCCTAGAGCCAAAATGACCAATGACTGGAGAGGACAGCTAGGACTTCAGGTACCACATCTCACACCTGTTGCCCAACCCACTGTGCTTCTGCCTGAGCCACACCAACAATGCCAGCTTGAGGGTACAAAGCCCTATTCTAAAGCATTCACAGTGTAGGTTTTCAGATCTCAAGAACCTGTATTTCACATTTGAAAGCTCTGGGTTTTTGTGGATCTAGCCCCAGTTTTTCCCTTCCCATTTAGGCCAGAGCCTTGTATTTGATGACCTGTGGTGGGAAAAACAGGTCTTCATTTCCCTGTGTGAATGCATATTGGGAGGGAATCCTAGCCCCTTTCCTGGCACATACATTGCAGGGGTTTGAATCTCCTTTTACCTACCAAATCTGGTTTTTCTTCTTTGTGCCTTTTATGAACTAGTCTCATGATCACTTTTCACACAGGCCAACCCTTACTCAGAGTGGAAGGGGACTACCCAAGTGTGAATACCATAAAGCAGGAATCCCTGGAGGTCATCTTGGACTCTATGGTAACTCTATTCTGTTTCCATTTTGTAATTTTTCTCTGGCTATATAAGTAAGCCCTGCTTCACTTTCTACCTATGTGGTGATGACTTTCAAAAGTCTATGTCCAGAAGAGGATCACGGGAAGATGGCGGCATGAGTAGTTCAGAGGAAATCTCCTCCCCAAAACATACATATTTATGAAAATACAATAAATACAACTATTCCTAAAAGAGACACCACTGGATGCAGTACAACAGCCAGGATACATCTACATCTGTGAGAACTCAACATCACACGAAGGGGGTAAGATACAAGCCATGGCCAGGCGGGAACCAAACGCTCCCCAACCCCAGAACCCAGCGGGAAGAAAGGAGTTGGAACAGGGAGGGAGTGAAAGCCCAGGACTGCTAAACAACCAGCTCTAGAAACTGCACCTGGAGTGCTGACACAAGGTGCATGGGGTGCTGGATATTAGAGAAACGGAAAAGCAAAACCTGTGGGCAGGTCCCCGCAACTGGTGCCCCTGAGACAAAAAGAAAAGTGAGTGCTTTCTGCAAGTCTTAAACAGACAGGGACCCCAGAGCTGGATGAAGTCATCCCAGCACACTTAGCCAGCAGCTGGAAATCTGGGGAACCTTAGGCACCCTAAACCCTGGGGAGGCAGCGCAGGTCTGAAGCTCCTCACGGCACTAAGCAGCCTGCCAGTCGTTCCTTCAACTGGCATTGACCCTGACACACCAGC